GGCCGAGCCGAGTTCCGGTTCCGGTGGCTGCGGCCGCGGGCGGGCAGTGAGGCTGGGAAGAACGCGCAGTTGGCGCTCCGGCTCGGCGCCTGCCCCTCGCCGCCCTCGGGGTGGCCACAGCGCGGGGGCCTGTGCTGCCCCCGACACCCTTTCTGGGCGATGGTGCGACCCGACGGCGCGTCCGTCTCCCGCCGCCGCTGACCTGGGTCCCCCACTCCATGGCCGCCTCGGCGCCGCCCCCACCGGACAAGCTGGAGGGAGGTGGCGGTCCCGCACCGCCCCCTGCGCCGCCCAGCACCGGGAGGAAGCAGGGCAAGGCGGGTGAGAGCGCCGAAGAGGGCTGGGGGCTGGAGAAGCCGAGGACTTGGGGACCTCGAAGGGAGGCTGGGCGGGTGGGAGGAGGCGGGGGTCCTTAGGCCGAGGGGCATGAAGAAGGTGGGTGGGTGAAGCCCTCCAGGGGTTAGGGGAAAGTGTCATAGATTGAGGACCCTCGGGTTTGAAGGCACGTGGAATTCAGGACCCACTTGGGAATCTGTGGGTATCAAGAGATAGGATGTCTCATTTAAAGGATGAGGCAGCTGAGAGTGTAGTAATACAATTTACTTTCCTTATTACATCTTTGTTAGTATTTCCTTGTTAAGTAAATAAGCAAGCGTTTGTTGAAGTTAGAAGAGCTCCTCCAAGCGTGGCTGGGAGAAAGGAGGTTGGGGAGCCTCAGAGAAACTTGTTTGTGTTCGCCTTTTGCTGCTCTTCCAGGTTTGCAAATGAAGAGCCCAGAAAAGAAGCGAAGGAAGTCCAATACGCAGGTGAATGGTGGTTGGTGGGCCGGAGAATTCCTAGCAGCCTCTCCCTGGAGTCTGCCCTCTGTCACTCCAATGTCTGTGTCTTGGTCAGGGACAGGGAGAAGAGAAAGTTCTCTCTCTTGCTCTTTCTGGTCCTTTCCTTCAACTTCATGGTTCCCTCATGATAACACCTACCACTTACTTTTGCTAAGTGCCAGGGATTGTGCTACAGTGCTCTTAACAGTTTTGGGAGGTGGGCAGTTGTCTGTTTTACAGATGAAGAATCTGAGGCTTAAAAAAGTTAAATACTTGCTCTAGGGTCTTGAGCTTATTCAGTGTCAGAGCTGGGATTCCAGCATAGTTCTGCCTGTTTTTAAAACACAATGCACTATGTTGTATCTTGTTTCTCTGTTACATTCTAAGGTCCATCCTGCTTTTAGATCTGAGCTGCTGGCTGGAACCTGCCTCCAAAATGTGTAGTGTGTTTCTGGTGTTCTCCTGGTTTAGGGCTACACTTCTCTCTATGACCCTCTTTTTCTCATCTGTTCCCCCACTAGGGCCCTGCATACTCACATCTAACGGAGTTTGCGCCACCCCCGACTCCTATGGTGGATCACCTGGTTGCATCCAACCCTTTTGAAGATGACTTCGGAGCCACTAAGGTGGGGGGTGCAGCCCCTCCATTCCTTGGCAGTCCTGTCCCCTTTGGAGGCTTCCGTGTGCAGGGGGGCATGGCAGGCCAAGTACCCCCAGGCTACGGCGCTGGAGGTGGAGGGGGTCCCCAGCCTCTTCGTCGACAGCACCCTCCTTTCCCTCCCAACCCTATGGGTCCTGCTTTCAACATGCCCCCCCAGGGCCCTGGCTACCCACCGCCAGGCAACATGAACTTTTCCAGCCAACCCTTCAACCAGCCTCTGGGTCAGAACTTTAGCCCTCCTGGTGGGCAGATGATGCCAGGCCCAGTTGGGGGGTTTGGCCCCATGATTTCACCCACCATGGGACAGCCTTCCAGAGGGGAGCTGGGCCCTCCTCTCCCCCAACGCTTTGCGCAGCCAGGGGCACCTTTTGGCCCTTCTCCTCTTCAGAGACCTGGTCAGGGGCTCCCCAGTCTGCCCCCCAACACAAGTCCCTTCCCTGGTCCAGACCCTGGCTTTCCTGGCCCTGGTGGTGAGGATGGAGGGAAGCCCTTGAATCCACCTGCTCCCACTGCTTTTCCCCAGGAGCCCCACTCAGGCTCCCCGGCTGCTGCTGTTAATGGGAGCCAGCCCAGTTTCCCTCCAAACAGCAGTGGGCGGGGTGGGGGCACTCCAGATGCCAACAGCCTGGCACCCCCTGGCAAGGCAGGTGGGGGCTCAGGGCCCCAGCCTCCTCCAGGCCTGGTGTATCCTTGTGGTGCCTGTCGGAGTGAGGTGAACGACGACCAGGATGCCATTCTGTGTGAGGCCTCCTGCCAAAAATGGTTCCACCGAGAGTGCACAGGCATGACTGAGAGTGCCTATGGGCTGCTGACCACTGAGGCCTCTGCAGTCTGGGCCTGCGATCTCTGCCTCAAGACCAAGGAGATCCAGTCTGTCTACATCCGCGAGGGCATGGGGCAGCTGGTGGCTGCCAATGATGGCTGATACTGGCGAGGTGACCCAGGAAAGTGCATACGTTCCTCCCTGGTCTTCCAGGATGATTGTTTCTGTGTCTGGCTCTTGGTCCTTGTCTCCACTGGCTTTCCATCCTCCAGAGCAGAAATGCAGTGGCTCCTGGGGGCAGAAGAGGAACTGAAGTGGGCAGGCAGGAGAGCCTGGATCGCTCACAATTCTGGAAACTTTCACGCTGAGATCTGCAGAGATCCAGGAAACCAAAGCCCTGCCAAGCAGAGCCATTTTTTGGTGGTTGTTTCTGGAGGCCTAGGGGTAGCGCTGCAAGAGAAAAGAGGCTGGAGGAAGATCTGGAAGGCAGGGGTGTCCCCTCTGTAGATGATGGATGCCCCCAAACACCTGTGCCTAACGCCTATCTAGCCCCACAGCTGCAGCCTTAGTTTTTGGAGTCAAGTGTTAAAAGGTTTCTGACCAGAGGAGTTAGGTCTGTTCCCATTCCTGCAATACAGCCTTTCTATGGGCTCTGGGAGATAGCTGTAGGGAACAAAAATGGATTTCCCTCTTTTCCTACTCTCCCCTTGCCTCTTCCAAAACCTGTTCAATTCTTCCCTCTCAAAGAACCAAATAGCTTGAAGAAACAGTTCTTGGCCATGGCAGTTTCTTGGTGATTTGAGGCTTCAAGACAGTAGGTAAGAGCTGCTGTCGGGACATATCTCCCTCATACCAAAGTCATTGGTCCTTTCTCAGCCTCTTGTGCTTTTTTCCTAATGATCATATTTTTTTTGCCAAAAATTGGGATATGTGGTCTGACCAGAATATTTGAAGTTTGGACAGTCCTGGAAGCCTGGACTCTATGTTGTACCAGAACCCTGCCCATCTGCTGCACGTTCTCAGCGTAGGTCTTCAACTTCTGGTGCCCGTATTCCCCCGCCTCCCTGGCTTGATGGAAGGAAAGCTTGAAAGGGCACAGAGCCCTTATACCTCATTTCTTCTGATAAAAGGATCCCTGAGCCAGCCTGTGGGTGGGGAGGCAGCAGGACCCTCATTGCTGAGGTACTGAAATGCAGTTCAGATCCTGGGTGTTTCTTCTCTCTCCTATTTGTTATATCGTTTTAGGCCTGGCGTTCTGGCTGTTGTCATTCCTCTCAGCCAGAGTTTTGTGCTGGGCTTTGTTTTTTATTTTTAAAGCACTGCCTGCCAGAGACGGGACTGATCAGGAGCCCCTCACACCTGCTCTTTCTTACAGCTCATGCACATATTACTCAATGGGGTGGGGAAGGCAGGCCTGAGAGGAGTTAGTGGTTGCCTGGACCCCGGCATGTGCAGAGAAGACAGGTGTACTGCAGAACTCATGGGCCTGCCCAGGTAGAACCAGCAGCTTTTGATGCTGCGAAAGAAGGGGTGGCCTCTGGGCCCCTCTTTGAGTGTCCTCTCTAAAACAGCAGAGAGCAGCCCCACACTGCTCAACTTTGCCTTGTGTTTGTGGTTCTGTTTGTCCATCTTTTATCTGTTGCTATTTTTGTGCCGCCTTCCCCCATCTCAGCATTTTGTAAAGTGGCTCCTGGGGGAATGTCTGCTTAGTCCCCCCTTCACTCCAGTGTTTTGGAAGAAAGGGGTGGCAGAGATGTGATGGGGGGACAAGTCTTTTGTACGGTTGGATTAATAAAATGGCTTGAAAATCCAGACTAGGACTCCTTACTGTTTATGTGCGAAAAAGTCGGAATGAACTGTCATCACGTCTGGTGAGGGTGCTTGGGGGGCTGTATGCCCTGAGGGCCCCAGTTAGTGGGAATGGCAGACCCCGTTCAAGCTGCTGAGCCCGAGCAGAGGGAGTCCTGTGTGCCCCACCCTACCCGTGTATCCCTGCTATGAGAAAATTTCTTTTCTGAGCACATTCCTTGGCCGGGCATGGAGCCAAGCGGGAGTTTCGGAGCTTCGGCTCCTAGGCCTCGGAGAAATAAGTGACTAGTGCTCTGCGTTTAGCGCCCACCCTTCAACCCCCCAGTTGTTTGGGTTAGGAGTCAAGTGTAGCATCGAGGGTGGGAGAAGGGGCTACACCTGGTTCAGCAGATGTCATTTTGGGATGCTTTTCAGACCCCCTTTTAAAGAAGTACCAGTGGCTTCCTTAACAATCCGCACTGAGGCAGAGTGGAGAGGGTGGCAGGAGGGCTATTTCCAACCCACGATTTGCCACTCCCCTCCCCCTTCCTGCAGCTGCCTGTGTCTATCCTGGGACCAATCTGGCCTCTGTCCCTGTCGTCTCCAGAGATTCCACTGTTTGCCTTTCAGTTTTGTGTCTTCCTCCTAACAACTAGAGACTGGGAAAGGAGGGGTGGTCACCCAGAACTCAGTTTGTTGGAATTCCAGTCTCCCACCAGGAGGTAAGCCGAGGTTTCTGGGCTGTACAGGTTCCCCCTTCTACATCCCCCCCAACTCCAGCTCTTATTGGCCAAAAGTTTCCGCCCCCTCAGGGAAACTGACTTCCAATTGGGCAGTACCTGATCACATGACTCCCCTTTCTGGGGCTGGGAACCAGGGGAGGCCGAAACAAGTTCAGCTGAAGGCTGAAGCAGGAGCTGGATCAGGTAATGCCCTAGCGGGGAGAGGACCCGTAGATCTGGTGCGGGAAGGAGGGTATCGGAGAGGAAGGGCAGAACTCAAAGGGTTGGGCTCCACCGGGGATCTACAGAGCTGCTTGTCACTGCTGGACTGGGAGGAGAGGGACCACAGGCGACTGTTTCCAAAACAGGAACTTGCTCTGAGTCCCCCAGGCAAATACTTGTGGCCCTAGTTCCTTTGCTTTAGAGGTTTTGGGGAACAACTCTTAGAGGGGCTGAAATTAGCTAGGCCAGACTTCCCAGCTTTGTGGAGAGTGGGAGAGCTCCCCCTTTAGCTGTCTTTCAGACATAGCAGAAGTGTCTGACAATCCTTAAGGGATGATTTGTTGACTCCTGCCTGAGTGGAGAGGAGGTGGTGGGGGAGGGGGCGATGGTGGGTTTTCTCCCTAGAAGTCGATGATACGAAAGAGGTCTGAAAATACAAAGGGGAAAGGTGGAAGTTAGACAGCAGAAGAAACTTCCTAATAAGGCAGTGAGATGCTGGCTTGGGAGAACGGGGGATTTTTTGGAATCTGGGGTGCACCCAACCAAAAGAGGTACTGGGGCTTAGAACTCTGAGTGCAGGGGTCCAAGAACTGTCTCCTGTTTGGATCTCAGAAGTGTTTGTCTTGTTGACCCAAATACCGTTGCTGGTTTCCATGAGACAGTGGGTCTGACATCACCCTGGTTGCCATGGTGCTTGGTTCTGAAGGACCTGAGCAGGCTGTACACAGCCAGGGATAAACAGGGACTTCAGCCCAAGCTGCTGCCACTTCCTTCCTGCCACCACCTGTTAACAGTCACACACAGCAACTGGGGATGGGGAGATGATGACAGAACAGCGGAGGAGGGGCCTGAGAGCAGAAGGCTGCACAGCGATGGCTGTATGGATGCCTATAAGCTGGTCAGGGTGTTCTGTTATACTTACTATGGGTAGTTATTGCAGCCATTCTGTCTCTGTGGGATGGGTGTGTGTCTGGGAGGTATAGGCATTGGAAAAGACACCACGAGGTGTCCTTCATCTGTCCTGGGCTTGGATCATTTTTTTTTTTTAAATATATCTTTATTGATTTCAGAGAGAGGAAGAGAGAGAGATAGAAACATCAATGATGAGAGTCATTGATCGGCTGCCTCCTGCACGCCCCAGACTGGGGATTGAGCCCGCAACCCGGGCATGTTCCCTGACTGGTGATCGAACCCAAGAACTCCCGGATCCTAGGTCGATACTCAACTGCTGAGCCACGCCTGGCCGGGCTGGGCTTGTATCTTGAAGATCCACAATAGGTTATTAGGGCGCCGTGCACCTTATACTCGTTCAGACAGAAGGGGGCAGGTCTGCCATCCATCTTCCCAGCCTCACTCCCCTCCCCCAGGGTTTCCTTACAGGGTCTTTTCCCACTTGCTGCTTTTCTAGCCCCTCAGTAAGGAGTTATTCATCCTCCTCTGAAGGATCACAGTTCAAGACTCTGGGAGGTCAGCCCCTCTATTCCTTCATCTTTATGCCAAGTTCCAGTTGCAGCTGCCCAGCCTGTGGGGACAGTGTGGGCCTTGGATGAAGGGGCCTCTCTTTTTACTCTGCTTTGTGTCAGGCTTTGGAAGCTGGAAGGACTTCCTACCCCCACCTGCCAAGTCAGAGCAAAAGAGGTAAGGAACACGGCCACAGCCCTGATTTTTGCAAACTGTAAAGTCTTTATACGTGATAGTTGCCATAAAATCCTTTTCCCAATCACCGTCAAGTTCCTTGAAACTCGGGGGATTACTAATAAGGGAACAGAGTTTAAATGGAGAGTGAGAGTGACAGAAGATTTACTAAAGGTACATTCGGATGACCTAAGCCTTGCCAGTTAGTCTCAACCCTGCCTGCAGGTGAGAATCATCTGGGAGGTTTTAAAAGAGATCCATGCCTCAACCTGACCTGAATAGCAATTGAATCAGAATCTTAGGTGATTTCAGTGTGCAACCAGTGGTTTTTTTGTTTGTTTATTGATTGAATGATTGATTGATTTTAGAGAGCAAGAGGAAGAGGAGGGAAAGAAACATTGATTCGTTGCTCCACTTGTTTATGCATTCATTGGTTGCTTCTTGTATGTGCCCTGACTGGGGATCGAACCCACAACCTTATGTGGTATATTGCAATGATGCTCTAACCAACTGAGCTACCCAGCCAGGGCTGCAGCCAGTGTTGAGAACCCCTGAACTAGACCATACAAAGGACTTAGGGTGGGTGGGTGGTGGGAGACTTAGTGCTGAAGGAGCCTGTGGAGTCTTTTCTTTCTAGCCCTGAGACAAAAGGTAATGACTGTGGGAGATCACTGATGATTCTGTCCAGGGTACAGGGGGGCTGGGCTGTTTTCCTCACTCTTAGCTGTTTGTCTTTGCCAGTCAGATCAGTCCCTTTCTGGCCTTCATCTGCCCTGACCATAGCAGGAGAGAGTTGGCTGGGTTATTCCCCAAAGGCTTTCCAGTTCTCTGCTTCATCGACCTTTCAAGGTCAGTTCAGTTTCCCAAGGCCCTGTTGGTCCCTGGGAGAGGCGAGACTCTCTGTGGCTGTCCACAGGTTCTGATTTGCAAGGCAAATACTGCTCAGAAGAGTTGAGATGTTAGGGTCAGAAGGACTGGAACCAGGCTGGTTCTGGAAGCTGCTGCCCAGTCCCTAGACCTCGGAACCCAGCTGAAGCTGCTCCCTGCATCCTGCCTTTCCTGAAGGGAATAGGGTTGCTGAAGCTTTTCTCTGCAGGTGGCAGCCACAGCAGCCTCAAGGACCTCAACAACTATGGCCTCCTGCCCAGATTCGGACAATAGCTGGGTGCTTGCTGGCTCAGAGGTAGGAAAAGCAGGCCTGGGAACCACATGGAGGGGGATTCTTGCAGGACTGGGCTGCTTTCTGGGTCTGTTCCTTCCTTGGTCCTTGTGGTCACCTGCATCACCTTCTGCACCTGTGAGAGGAACTCTGGTGGTGGGGGAAGGAAATTAGGCCCCAGGAGTCAGGTGTTGGGGCTCGGACCATGCCCAGGAAGAAGGGTGCCGCTGTGATAAGCTGTGAGAAGTCAGGAAGGAATTTTGGTGTGGAGACCAGCATGAACAGAGGATCTGAGGCAACAGTGGAAAAGCCATTGTCGGGGAGACTATGAGGAGGCCCATGGGACAAGGTTGCATCATGGGTCAGAGTGTTGGAATGAGGTTAGGGGCAGAGCCTGGGAACCTCTGGAAGAGAACCTGTGAAGGGCCTGGCTCAGGCATTCAGGCCTCATTCTTAGGAAATCACTGAAGGGCTCTGAATCTAAAGGAGTCAGGACACTCATTGCCTGGACAGAGGTGAAGCCATGCGGGGCTGGGTAGGAACAGCAGGAGAGTGTTTTAAAGATCCTGTAGTTGGGTAGGGACCCAGTGGACTCCTGTGCTCCTGAAGCCACTGAGAAGGTTGAAGGGTCCAGCAGGATGGAGGACTGAGTGCCTGGAGAAAGTTTGTAAAGGGATCTAAACTCCAGTGGCTTGGTGTGTCAGAACTGCCAGGAGGAGAGAAGGCGTGGAGCTGGAGTTAAGTGCCCTGGAGGAGCCCGGTTGGGAGTGAGGAAGCCGACCTCAGGGATTACACTGGAGCAGGACACATGGATGGGCTCACCAGTAGAAGAGGGCGGACACTCTGCTCTCACTCAGCCAGAGTCCTGGGTACCTTTCTGACAGCTGGGCATTTTACCTTGCTGTCCTCCCCTGTAAAAGGGTCTGTGTGATTCTTGCCTTGTAGAGGTGGCCACGAGAAAAAAGTGATTTGAAAATTGCAAAGAAACATACTAAGGCCAGGAATTATTCTTGGAGGGATGGCGGGAGCCATGGACGGGGTAAATGGGTGATGGGCCCACTGAGAAGGAGTGTGTGGAGGGAGAAGAGGCTGAGCCTGGACGGCCAGGCTGAGAGCACCCTGGAGGACAGGCTAGGGTGGGTGGCATGGGTGGGGCTCCTGCAAGCAGCTACAGGGAGAGGGGTGTGTGGGTGAGTGGGAAAGGCCAGAAAAACTTAGAAGATGTAAGTGAAGTGGGCGGCCTGTTGTGAGGGCAACTACAGGAAAGTTTGCGGGGAATGTGACTGTGACCCTTAAGCACCCAGGGGACTTTGTTCTCTTGCCATCCTCCCACCATCCAACCAATAACTGGTCATTTGTAGGGAGGGAAGGAAGTGCTGATGATCTCAGAGGGGAGGGAGACCCAGGCTCTTATCTATCCAACTTCTAGGCGGGGGCAGGTTTGTACGGTGTCCAGTGCTTTGGTCCAGTGGTGCTTCTTCGTTTAACAGAAACTGAGCCTCTGAAAGTTCCTCAGAAGAGCAAATGAGGTTAGGGGAGGGCCAAACATGACGTCAGGCTGTGATGGTGCAGTGCCAGCTGACCCCCCTCCCCTCACTTTGGACCAGCTCATTACTCAATGTATTGTATTTCTGTGACATGTGGGTTGGGGTCCCTGAGCAGTGCAGCTGGTCCCAGGGACCCTGGCAGAGGACTTCATGCTCCTGGGTTTGTCCTGTTGTCCCTCCTCTGGAGCACCTCCTGCTTGTGCCCCTCCCCGCAGAGCCTGCCTGTGGAGACCCTGGGCGCAGAATCCAGGATGGACCCAGAGCCTGAGAGAGCGCCCCAGGCCCCTTGGAGCCCCTCCAAGGCGGATGGTGAAGAATTAGCTGGGACCTTGGATGGAAAAGGTAAAAGGGCCGTGCTGAGGGTGGGGTACAGCTGTCTCTTCTCCATGTTCTAGGGTTCCCACTTTCATCAGGGAAAGGGAGGCTGGTTAGTCTTATTTCCCACATTAATCTCAGTTTAAGGTATTCTTTCCTCATTCTATCCTGGCTTTTTTCTGCCTCTTCCAACCTGGTTGGGGCCTGCAGGAGCCAGAGGGCTGCATAGGAAGTTTAGCTGGTAGGCTGTGGTGTTTTTCCTGGGCCTTTTCTTCCCCTACAGAGACCCTCTTCCAGAGTGAAAGCTCCCAGTCTGGTCCCATTCTGCCAGAGGAGACTGAGGCCAAGGTGAGGACCTTCACGGAGGGAAGGGAAGGAAGTGGGAAGGGCCAGGAGCTGCTCACGGCTATGTCTAAATCAGGGCGTCCCGGAAGGTGATGGTCATGGTGTGGAGTTCCCTGGCTCAGGAGACACAGTGGCCCAGGGAGACTTGGAGGAGACCCCCATGGTGGCAGACCTGGGACCAGACACACAGGACCTGGAGGATCAGAGACCCCAACAGAGCCTGCCCTCATTCCCCAATGCAGGTGAGAGTCCTCCTTGTCTCCCTTTGGCACTATCCTTCTAGAAGGTATGGTTGTGGGAGTAGTCATCACTACTGAACACAGCTTTGGTCCAGGCCCTAGGACTTAATAGCTTCGCGCCTCCTTAAATTATATCAGTGAGTCCTCAGCACCACCCCTGAGGCTCAGAGAGGTTAAGTGACTTGACTAAAGTCACACAGCTGATAAGTGGCAGGGCCCAGGTTTGGTTGATTCTTTCCTCTCTGTCCTTGGGCCTCCTCTTTTCTTGCCTCTAGATTCAACTCTTATCCCCTGAGTCCCTTGCATGTGTTAGCTCTTTGCTTGGGGGAAGAGGGTGGTGGGTGGTTCATGGCCTATGTAAAAGGCAGACAAGACTGAGCCAAGATGAAAGTCAGACCTATGAGGGATATAAAAGGAGGTATAATTAAGTTGCTCCCACAGGAGGAGGAGATGGTTCAGTCAGGGCACAGGTTGAGGGGAAAGGAGAGACAGGGATAGTTGGGGAAAGGTTGACATAGGAGGTGACATTTGAGTGGAGCCTGGAGCAAAGAGTAGGCTTTTTGGTAGGTAGGGAACATTCCAGGCCAAGGCTGCAGCATCAGCAAAAGGCTGGGGGCCACCTGTCCTGTGCTAAGGAGGCTACGTCCAAGGTTTGTGGCAGAGGAGTGTATGAATCATCTCTGTAGAAGGTGACAGGGTGGAGGGAGAGGCCAGGGCCTCGGGCCACTTAGGAGGTAACTGCAGTGGTCAGGCAAAGCTGATGAAGACCTGAATTAAGGCGGGTACAAGGCGTGTGATGTCCAGATGTTTAAGTGTCGAGTTGCACGGGTGTGAGGTGAACGTGGGCAGGCAGATGTCCATCCCTGGAGCTCTAGGGAGGCCAGGTTGGGCATTAGGGATTTATCTGATCTTGGCGGCCATCGGCAGTATGGGTGAGATACTGGGTGACTGACTGTGTGCACAGTGAGGAGAACCGAGAACAGAAGTAGTGTCAGGAGACCACCACCTTTAGGACCGGAAAGAGCCAAGAGGGACTGAGCAGGAGTGGCCAGAGTTAGGACTGACCTGGGGGGCTGGTAATAGCTGTAGGAGCTCGATACAAGGCACACGTGGGAGGACAGTGTGTGCTTTTAGGATGACGCTGCTCTTGTAGTTGGCAAACAGAAAGGACTGGTCTCCCACCTCCAGACTGGGCAGGGGCTGTCCTTGATGCCCAGGCAGACATAGGCAAGGTCTCCACATGCCCCTCTTTGTGGTCAGGGCTCTGGGCCTCCCCGTGCCTTCCTCCACGTCCCCTCTCTCCCTATGCCCTGACTCTCCTGTTGCCTCACTGCCTTGCCCCCCATCCCTTCCTCCAGCTTGGAGCGGGGAGGAGGACCACTGCACCAGCAGCGAGGATGACACCCACGTGGACGTGGAGGGTCTGCGGAGGCGGCGGGGCCGGGAGCCCAGCGCTCCTCAGCCTGCAGTGCCCCTGACTATAGAGGACGAGGCCGGAGGCGAGGGTGTAAGCGGNATCCCTTCCTCCAGCTTGGAGCGGGGAGGAGGACCACTGCACCAGCAGCGAGGATGACACCCACGTGGACGTGGAGGGTCTGCGGAGGCGGCGGGGCCGGGAGCCCAGCGCTCCTCAGCCTGCAGTGCCCCTGACTATAGAGGACGAGGCCGGAGGCGAGGAGCTGGGCATCTCCCTCAACATGTGCCTCCTCGGCGCCCTGGTTATGCTGGGCCTGGGGATCCTCCTCTTCTCTGGTGAGTGGTGCCTCCTCTCCTGGGGCCTTGAGCCTCTACCCTGGCCCCTACTGTCCTCCTGCCCTTCACCTCACCCCAGCCTTCCTCTGAGGGCCTTACCATGCTGCTCTGTCTCCATTCTCAGGTGGCCTCTTGGAGTCTGAGAACGGTGAGTGGGGAGGGCCCTGGCTTGTTCTTGTCTGTTCCCTCCCAGCCCTGAGGGAGGCTGATGGGGGCGGCTCTTTGGGTCAGAAGTAGGGATGCTGGGGGCTGTACATTTATTGCTCAGTTATGCTGTGTCAGCTGTCCAAAGTGACCCATGGCCCTTCACCTGGCTGGACCTCTCAGTCATGGGTGGATCCAGGGCAGGAGGGTGATTGTGTGTGTGTGTGTGTGTGTGGAGGGAAGGAGTGTGTTCTGTGTGCCCTGGGGCCGGTTTCAGGACTTCGCTTTCCCACAGGGCCCATGGAGGAAGTAGAACTGCAGGTCTTTCCAGACCCCACGGTGGACAATGAGATGTTGAATGCTGGGGGGGATGGGCAGGTATGTGTGAATGCATCCATCAGTGTGTGGGCCTGGTAGGGGAGTTCTGGGTTGCCCTGGGCTGTGGGGCAGGGTGGGGTAACAGGCTCCTTTGCCCTCAGGAGGGGCGAAGGCAGCAGCTGCAGGCCTCAGCGCCCCCTGACAGTGGCCCCAGCCTGCAGAACATGGCCCTTCTGCTGGACAAGTTGGCCAAGGAGAACCAGGACATCCGGCTGCTGCAGGCCCAGCTGCAGGTAGGCACAAGTAGGAAGGGGTGGGCTAGGCCAGCCCTCCCTAGGCCAGGCGTCTGTCCTAGTGTCCTCCTGCAGAAGAAATTTCCTCTATTTACCCATACACCTTGACCCTCTCCCTTTCCCACTAGAGTCAGGCCATCTTCCTAATTCTCTACTCATGCCTCATGGTAAAGTTTAGGCCAGGGCTGGCATACCTGTTCCATGGGACAGGCCGCCTCTGATTGATTGGCATGGTCTGCCTGGAGGTTGTGTGGAGAAGGATTTGAAGAACATGCCAAGGCTCAACGGGAAAGAAGTACTGAGAATGATCAATAGTGTCCGCTCTGGGCATGGGCGCTGGAAATAAGGCAATGAGAGCGCATATTGGCTCTCCTTGGGTGAACTGAAGAAGCATGTGCTTACATAAGGACAGAGAAGCTGAGGCCTGTGATGGAATTTGGGGACTTTTGGGTCTGGTGCAGGGTGTGGATGGGAAGGACTAGAACCAAGTCCTCTGAGTGTCCCAGGCTGTAAAAGGGGCTCGGGCCACCTGCCCACTGTACTGGAATAGAATTGGGGTAGAAGGCACTGGACCCATCCTGAGAAGACCCTCTTGTGGTCCCCTCCATCTTTATACCCATTCCAGGCCCAGAAGGAAGAGCTTCAGAGCTTGATGCACCAGCCCAAAGTGCTAGAAGAAGAGAATGCCCAGCTCCGAGGGGCCCTGCAGCACGGCAAGGCCTCCCAGAGGGCACTGGAGTCCGAGCTGCAGCAGCTGCGGGCCCGCCTCCAGGGGCTGGAGGCTGACTGCGTCCGGGGAACAGATGGGGTGTGCCTCACCTGGGACAGAGGCCCACAGGGTGGCCAGGTCACCAAGGAGCAAGGCCCTCAGGGGCAGGTGCCAAGCACTGGCTTCCTAGAGCAGAAGGAACAGCTAGAAGCTGAGGCCCAGGCACTAAGGCAAGAGTTGGAGAGGCAGCAGCGGCTGCTGGGGTCTGTGCAGCGGGACCTGGAGCAGAGCTTAAGGGATGCAGGCCAAGGAGACCTAGCTCACGCTGGCCTTGCTAAGCTGGGTCACAGGCTGGCTCAGAAGCTGCAGAGTCTGGGGAACTGGGGGCAGCACCCTGGGGTCCCTGGCAATGCCTCAGAAACGAGTCAGGAGCGGCACTTCCAGAGTTCTAGAGAGCGGAGTGGAAAGGAAAAGTGGCGGGATGGGCATGGGGACCAGAAGGCTGAGCATTGGAAGCATAAAAAAGAGGAGTCTGGCTGGGAAAGGAAGAAGGGCTGGGGGGGTAAGGAGGACAGGGAGCAGGCAGGGAGGTGGAAGGAGGGCAAGCCTAGGCCAGAGGAGTGGGACAAGAAGGATGGTAAGCAACAGAGCCCCAAGGAGCCCCCCAGGAAAAGTGGGAGCCCCCACTCCTCTGGAGAAAGGCAGAAGCACCCTCAGGGGAAGGAAGGGGCCAAAGACAGACATGAGCCTCTGTCATTCTGGGCAGAGCTATCGAGACACAAGTACCGGGCACCCCAGGGCTGCTCGGGCGTGCACGAGTGTGCCCGACAGGAGGGCCTGGCCTTCTTTGGCATGGAGCTAGCCCCAGTGCGGCAACAGGAGCTGGCCTCTCTGCTGAAGACATACCTGGCGCGGCTGCCCTGGGCCGGGCAGCTGACCAAGGAGCTACCACTCTCGCCTGCTTACTTTGGTGAGGATGGCATCTTCCGCCATGACCGCCTCCGCTTTCGGGACTTTGTGGACGCCTTGGAGGACAGCCTGGAGGAAGTGGCAGTGAGACAGACAGGTGATGATGATGAAGTGGATGACTTCGAGGACTTCATCTTCAGCCACTTCTTTGGAGACAAAGCACTGAAGAAGAGGTGGGCACCTATGGGGGTGTTGGGTCGGGTGGGACAGAGGAGAAGGGGAGAGGTGGGGATGTGTGTGAAGGAGCGAGGGTCCTGAGTCCAGGGTCTTCCAGTTTGAGTCTTTATCTCCATTTTTAGTCCCCCACTGGCTTCTCTTAAGAAGGCACCCAGATACTTTCCTGTCTTCCTTCAAGGGCAGGAAGCTGCTCTTGCTCACCCAAAGGGAATCCCCGTGGTGCTGGGGGATTTTTCTTCCCCAGTTGTCCTGTCCTACCTACACCTGCACGGCTTGGGGGTTAGGGAGATTGCTTCTACCTTCCGCCTCCCCAACTGGGGCCTTCCTCCTGGGAGACCAGGTCTGGCTCCAATATGATTGGTGGTGGCTGCCTGTGTTGGCTGTCTTAGGAGGAACAGGGTCCCCTCCTTCTGAGGGAACCCCTTCTCATCACATGGCATTGTCCTCTAAAGGCCTCTTCCTGCCCTGCCCCCATCTCCCCACAGATCTGGGAAGAAAGACAAACACTCTCGGAGCCCCAGAGTTGCGGGGCCAAGGGAGGAGCACAGGCACCACCGCAGAGGCTGAGGCTGCTGTTATCTGCTCCTGGGGACTGTTAAACTGCCATCTCTCCTGGCTTGGTTGGTGTCCTTGGATGTCCTTCACAGAGGAGAGCGAAATCACCCAGCCCTGCACTGATGCCACTTTCGCTAGAAAAAGACCTTAGATGGGCCTGCCTTGCTGTCTATGCAAATGTGTACAAATGTTTAGGACCCTGGGCTGGGACCCTTGGCAGTCTGATTGTGTCTGGCCAGATGGGAAAGGGAATGGGAGAGAAG